AATATATATCAGGAATTATTGCATATCATCATTGTTTTTTTTTAAGTTGTTAAACACTAGTGCTTTCCGAAAAAAATATTGGCAATGATATCCCATAGCTTCTGATATATTTTATATATACTTGAAATGTCTCAAAATGAWCATAATTTCTGMATATTTCTRTATCTCTGAGCATCTCAACATATGGTGAAGTATCTTCAACAACCTTTCTCATTGGCTTTATGAGATGTCCTCCTGGACAATAGTGTTGGAAGTTACGGCTAATTAACACACAATTCCTTAAAATTCAAACTCAAACTGATTATTTATAAAGCTGCACTTCAGTTGGGAAGAAGTTATAATTATCTCACGAATATTAAATATTAAGGAAAATATTCCTCCCTCAGAGGGGATTCTAAATAGCCTTGGGATCAAGATGTTTTTCTTTTAAGTTATATCATCCATGTCAGATTTACAATGGGGTACTCGAAATAAATTTAATAGTCCGAGATCAGGACTTATTTTGAATATTAAATATTGTATTTAGAAATATTATTATTATTCTGAAAGACAAAGATCACGTTCGATCTCAGGCATAAACTTCCTATTCAGATTTCGTTCGAAATGACTAGTAGTAAACAAACACAAACTCTCCGCACAACGGAGGATAAAACAAAGACTTTATATTCAAACTACCTCATTTAGTAAAGTTTTTCATTTCAATCGCGAACAGAATTCGATCAAAAGTGAAACAAATAATGCTCATTTGACTGTCATGAGCTTATTCGTCTACTCTCGCACGAAAAACAACAAACTTCTTTAAGCTTAAGCTTAATTCGATTTCTTGCGTTTGGTGGCACGACAACTTTCGTTGTTTAACTTGTAGATTAAGRTAATACGTAAGCTCTTTTCTTTTGCTCACCTTAGAGCCTTTGTTATTGTTTTGCTGCGGTTGTGTCGAGTTGACTACAATCTGCTGAACGGGCATCCTCGGTCGAGATCGCGATGCAATCAACACGACCGTCGACATTCACAAAAGAGACTTAAACTTCACATGTGGAATTAAAATTCTGCCAAAAATATTGCCTAAACCATCTTTTCTTTGTCCAAGAAGACGAATAAATACGGTTAGAATGACCAGAGTCGCTCAATCAGTCGCCAAGTTTTCTTTTCTTCGTCAAATTTCGACCTAAAATTTTCTACCAAACATGGCGGCCTGTGGAATCTTCTGATAGCCTGACATGACGTCATATCATACTAGCAGGGGATTGGCTAATGATCGGCAGGATGACAGGCTGATTTGAATAAAATCTTTTCGACGTCAAATGATCTCGATTGTAAATCACTTGCCATTCACTTTTCATGACATTTTTATTAATTTCAGAGAGAAGTTCAATTGAGCTTCAAATAATATTCATTGAAATTTTTGTTTGAATAATTTTTAAATTAAAAGGGAAAGAACTCCAGCCTACTTGGCGATTAAATACATGAGTCCATGAGAAATGGGGTAAAAAGTCGTGGTGTATAATACCTCTATTAAGATAAATGTCGACTAGAAACTGCTATAATTGCACTATAAAAACATATCAAGTAAAGAAATAATTATAAGAATAATAATAGTAATGAAACTCAGAATTATAAACAGAATGAAGTAGTGTTGTATTAAAAGTAAATACATGTACACTAAACGTTTTGATAATAATCAAAATTACTAAAAAAAATAAGAAAGGCCTTGAGAGCTAACGGCAGATGGCTTTTAAGATTTTAAAGGAAGCCTACAAAATGCCATTAATTTTTGCTTTTTGTTCTGCACAAACAGGTTTACGAAGAGTCCTCAAAGATCATCAAATGATCACAATATATTGCAGCACCACAGGAAGCCCAGTCTAGTCTACCTTATCCATCTACAACACCAGGAACAACCTTTCAAAATAAATACCACATGTATCCCAAGCTATGTATTTGTGTGATTTTTAGCAATTTTTTCGAAGTATATAAATTTGTACAATAAAAATAAACATCTCTACTTGCGTTTTTCCTACTTGCGTGTTGTTGTTGTTTTTTTTTTTGTTTTTTTTTTTTTTTGTTTTTGCTTATTTTTTTTTTGTTTGTTTTTTTGTTTTGTTTTTTTTTTGCATTTCATGTGAAGTCCATTTGCTTCAATAATGAGTGATTTATAGCTGTTGTTCCACCGCCTCTTCGAGATTTCACTTGTTATGGTTTTAGCCTACAAAATAAAGGGCTACCTGTGTCATCAGCTCTTTAAACAATCCCATGATTCCATGCGAGTGAGTAAGACGCTTATATGTAAACAGCAGAACAGACGAGTCCTTTTGATAAGCTTCCAGTCAAAATGGCATGGCATAAGGGTGTTTGGTGGCCTTTGTATGTCCCCCAGTGGTACAGTCCAAAAGTCTCTCAACACATGTTCGACCCGTACAGCTTTACGCACGTTCTTCACGGAGTTGTGTTGTATTATCTGTGGTTTCTTCTCGGCTTTGGACCATTCTATGGATGTTTGGTCATGTTCGCATTTGAATTTGCCTGGGAATTGTTTGAAAATAGCAAACGAGTGATTGAGCGCTATCGCACAACAAGTGGCACGTCTACTGACTACAATGGCGACAGTTATCAGAATATAATCGGCGATCTAATTGCATGTGAAGTCGGCTATGTCATCTCGATGATTTTCCACAAACTTGGAAAGTCCTGGCTCAGCATTGTTCTCTATTTGGTCGTGGAAATAGCACTCTTGTTTTACATGAGAGACTGYTTGACAACCACTTTGGGAAGTTTGATAAAGCCAAGCAAGGAGTTCTCCAAATGGCAAGCTGAAGGCGTCGAAATTGCAAGAAAAAAAGAAAAAAAGCCATGAACTTGATCGTGTCATAATTACAGCTTCCTGTCTCGGTTTGAGTGATTTTTTTTAGGTAAAAATATTGAAATTTAATATATTTAACATAAAGAAATGTAATATAATTGTCATGTTGTCAACAGTGAAATTATTGTTAATATATATAAATTATAAACATGACTGGTAGCTGTTAATCATAGGTGATAACTGATAATATATTCTCTCAGCATATGAAATAATTTACTGACCTCACGATTTTCACTTCGCTGAAGTCAGAAATTAAATAAAGACTTCATAATAAGAAAAAAATAGTAAAAAAGATGTAAGCCCGCCTGGTAAACCAAGCTCTTTCCCTGCATATAAACAGATTATGTTTTTGAATGAAAATACAACCACAGCGGCACGGAATCTTCAAAAACCGGCATGCAATGCGGTAGTGTGACTTAGAGGGATAGCTATGCCAGTGGCTTTCTTATTGGCATGATATAAATTCCCAAAACTTTGCAGAACAGTCGCCATTTTGTTTTTCATTACACTCTTTTCCCCAGAAAACAAGGCAAAAATTCGGCATAAAGGCTTTAGAGTCAGCATTAACTGTCCTGACAAAAAGAATTACTATAAAATCCAACCGGTACGAAAGTTGTGGTGAAAGAAATCCAAATATTGCTAATTTTCTCGATTTTTGGAGGATGAATATTTCATTGCTGAAGTAGGTGTTTAGACCCTGTTTAATTGATATATGGTCCCCCTAGTTAGTAGGGCCAAACTCTTTTGTTTTAAATCCTCCAGGGAAAAGAAAACAAAAGAATTGGGATCTACAACCTAGATCCGGCAACCTATCTCATGTGTACTGGCCTTAGTTTGCAGACTTTTGAAAGCGTAAAAATACAATGATTTAATTGAAAAGTGTTTTCCACCGGATAAATCGAATATTACGGGGCATGCACTAGTGAACACAAGAAATACGCGCGCTCCCAGGTATACATTTCGTATATAACAAGATGTCGGATTCAAAAATATTACATATTGATACGTGGACTGAATCTTGCTTTTTGAACACGTGGAAATCGCCCACCATAATACAAATATCACTAATTACTGTAAGATAGTACTAATTAAGCAATCATAAAACATTCAAAAAGACTATCCTAATCGTAAGATTCTGTCAATGGTAGCAAAGCAAAGAGATGTTATAATAAGCCCTGATTGCATTTCTTTGTTGGAATCTGACATCAATAGTGCACTAACAAGCTCTGATGCAAATAACTCCGCAACTCGAAATCATTATGTGAAATAAAACGCTTCAATAAACCACTCAACAAGCAGATATGTAATATACCTACAGTATACCGCAGTAGATTCAAGTTTTGACGTCGGTTTGAAAATGGCCTGGCACAAAGGTGCTTGGTGGCCTTTGTATGTCCCTCAGTGGTACAGTCCAAACGTCTCTCAACACATGTTCGACCCGTACAGCTTCACCCACCTTCTGCATGGAGTTTTGTGGTACCATCTGTTCTATCTACTTCGGCTTCGACCTTTGATTGGTTGTCTTTTCGCATTAGCCTTTGCATTTACCTGGGAGTTGCTAGAAAATAGCGCTTTTCTCATCGAGCACTTTCGCAAGACGAGTGGCACGTCCATGGAGTACCAGGGCGATAGCTATCAGAATGTAATAGGTGATCTAATTGCGTGCGAAGTTGGCTATGCCATATCGGTGTTGTTTCGCTTGCTTGGGAAGTTTTGGCTCAGCATAGTTCTGTACTTGGTAGTGGAAATAACGCTGTTGGTTTATATGAGAGATTGCTTGACATTAATGCTGATGAATTTGTTTATTCATAGCGAAAGCATCATCAAATGGCAAAAACAAGGTATCGAGATGGCATTGAGATGCTAATAATGACAAAAAGAATATTAAGTCTAAGTTTATGAAAATTTGAACAGTTATATACTTGTATCATTTGTAAGTGCGTAATTCTGTCGGACTATTGACGATTTTCATAATGGCCGACACTACATTAGCATATTATCGCTAAATTCATAATGTTGACAAAAGAAAAAACATTCAATTGACAGATTTCAAAGCTAAAGTCTGAAAGTTTCACATAAAATTATTAAATCGTCTTGAAATTATAAGGGCTAGAAGAGGCACCATGCAAAACACCAAAACGAGGCTACCAAGGCCTCAGCCAAGAATTCCATACAWATCCTTCAGATCCTTATTATCTTTATTCCTTCATAACTTATTTAATATTTGGTCTATAACTTCAACACTCCRAAYTTTCCACGAATACCTATTTCAGATAGTTCTTCCATATGAAAGTGTTGAATATTTCCATAATATTGTCAATTGTAGGCACTTATGAAAGTCGTCTTGGTGCGATATCTCGGCGCGGTGTATTCTTCAGTGGCCATATATGTTACAATAAATTCTGCACGTACGTACGTTCATATTCTTTTAAATGTACGAAACGCACTGTCAATTCTTTTCAGAAATATCCCTGATTACCACATATTATATGGGCTAACGTTTAGATGGGGATTCGGGATGGAAACAAGGCAAAATCGTCCGATCGAATATGACTGATCCACCCCATTCTAATATAATAAAGTACTTTTATAAACATTGCGATACTTTTGATTGTCACAAACGAAAAATGATCAATTAGTTGCTTTTTATAATCTAAGTGCATGTATAACAATTAGAGCAGGACAGGAAGAAGTCGAGTTGACTACCAAATTAGTTTTATTGTATGAGGCCGAGACCTTGAGGACCAAACTATAGGCCAAATTTGCCGAAAAAAGAACCAATTTTCTCGACATTTTTCGCATACTTCGATGCGAGCACGGTCTAACATTAATATAGACCATAGTTYAGTAGTCAACAAAATGCTGGATTTGTGCTATACCATAGTTTGGTGGATACTATAAAGAAGGACAAGAAGACAAGAAGAGGGATGAGGAGTGTCGCGAAGAGTGTTCTTCTGTAAGGCAGGAAACGATCTATGGATCCCAATGAAATCACCATGTATAGATCTACGTGGTCATCACAAATACAAAGCTTTTTTATGAGGCATTCCATGAGTAGGTTTATCAAAAGTCCTTTTCATAGTATTATATTTATTTTGTTTTGTGTAACTATCAACTTCACTACTGATCGAAAATGAGCACTACTAAAGTGTTAATGCATGTGAACTTGTCCAACTGCAGACCACATCGGTGTTTCAGTGTTATCCGGTTAGCTCTTTATTGGGCTTCGTTTCAGTCCTTTGCTTTCCATTTACCATCAAACAATTGCTGTTATTCAGTATTGGTTAGTTTCTAAGAGAATATTTTTTATTTAGTCCGTAAAGCAAACCGTAATAGTCAAAGTGACCCGCCACAAAAAAGTCAAAAAAATAATCAATCAAAAAAACTATCCTGGCTACGCCCCTGGTGTGATGTACCGAAATAATAAACTGTAGTTAACGAGCTTTTTAAAGGGTCCAATAGTGTTTACTGCTTTAGAGGAGTGTTTTTATCAGACTGTGAAATAGTGCTAATTGTGGCAAATAATGGCAGCCATTTTGGTAAACCTGGATATATAGGTCCAGTTTCGTCCAGTGTACCGCTTTTACCTTCAAAAATTCGTCCGTTTACAAAATACGAACAAATGAACATTACATTTTAATGATATTAACGATTGATTTAGAGAGAAATTTTAAAAGCATTTATCTTTATAGTATAAATCAATGAATGTTTAAGAATCGAGACGCCATTGCGTTCGAAAAGTATGTCTTATCAGTTAGTTTCCTAAGAAACCACATAGTTACAATCTAACAGCAATCAAAGGATAGTAGGTTTATCTTATATCAAAAGCCAAATTAATGATCATGAAAGGCCATAAAAAAGTCAACACCGACTTCAAGCAGATCAGCTCAAGACAAGATAAACGACCAGTCGGAACAAAACTTCACTTAGTTATCCGTGGAGCGCTTAAAACAAAGATTTGTTCTAAAACATCAAAAATCAGTACTGAAAAAAACACACGCGAAAATACACAAGATCCTTCCGTACCGGTCGATAATGGCTGTGCTTACACGAGGTTGAAGTTTAAAACATTTTGTATCAGCGCAAATTTTAAATATATATATATGATATATTGCATACTGACGTCATTTGATCCAGTCTTTTTCGCCGAATGCGTGATCGTTGGTGACGCTCATACTTAGTTGTGCAACACTGGAAATAAAATTTTGCGATTTTTTTCTGATAACATGTGTAATTCGCATAGCCATACGGTCTACTACCACTTTCAAATCAAAATACAAGAATCTTTGCGTGGTACATGATATCGGATATTATGTGATATAACTGATAGAAAGATTGAATGTGAACTTTTCTATTACTTCAAGGCTGATAATACGAAACTTGGTCAACATATGACAACATCAACGTTATGTAAAATCTTTCTACTTTGTAGTTTTTACTAATCAAAATAACATCACCAAATGATCATAGAATGTAGCGATGAAGCTATATACAACTGCCGTAAAATCTTGAGTAGGTTGTTTTGGGTATAAAAGCCACTTAATGTATCTACATCCCACGTTGCAAATAATCATTATAGTACTTAAGCTCATTTTTGAGAAAACGGAAGATTCAATTTGAATAGATTTTAATTTAGCCTAAGGGCTAAACACTGTTCAATTATAGCAATAACATTCCTTGCAGATTCGGTAGATTGTTACTGAGAAACGTTGCTGTACATATATAAACAACCCTACAAAAAAAATAACTCATTTAAACATTATATGTCGCGTTCTATCTGTGTACCTGTTCAGGATACAGAGTCTGCGTTTAGGTGACAAAAAGGTGAGAGTAAGGTATTGCCGGCACAAATTTAGTGAGCTACATACACGGTAATTCTTAAAAAAAAATTCAATCAAGCAGAAGGGTTTATAAAACAGTGAGTTGGCGTGAACTAAAAGAGACAGAGCGCACGAGTAGTTTGCCTGTAGTGATTCCACTATTAGCTTCATCTCCCGTGAATTAGGATTAGCCAGAGAAAAAAACTGGAGTAAAACAAAAAAGAGGGAGGGACAGACAATCAGAAATTAAAAAGATGATCAATATAAGTGACAGTAACTGAGAAAGTTAAACCAAAATAGAGATGGATGACCAAGAGAGCCACGTAAAGTTCATCTGACAGGTTTGTAGTTCTTATCGTCAAGAAATGTTTGTCTATACTTGACGTTAGCGTACGAACTGACCAACTTCCTTTTTGAACGGTTAGATCAGCTGTTGTCGGGCCGAATATTCAGTCAACACTCGACTATACTTAAACAAAGTCCATTCACTTCGTAGAACATAGTGCTAACAGAAATAACAATTTGTACTAGTGACGAAAGGTGATTTGCGCTTGACCACTTTTTGGACGTCAAACATTCACAATGGCGGTCGCTTCGCATGGCAAAGTATTTCTGGCGATGATGATAATGTGGACATATTTCCTCCCATGTCCTACAAAGCAGATACCAACTTGGGCTATAGCAAAGGGGAAAAAACCACAAGGTACGATTTGCTAAGTAGTGGTGATCGACTAAAACTCATTAGTCATAAATGATCTTTTAATAAACCAATGACAACACCAAGCTGACGATAGCGAGCGCATTGCACACAAAAAATTGTTTTATACTTTCTAAAACGCGTATACAAAGTTATTCTCAATATTAATCGTTTTTGGGACACAACCAATTTATTTAGAAAACGGAMTTAAATCAATTTTTTTTAATCGTTGCTACTTTTAACACCTTTAGATGGAACATAAAATTACTAGTGTTGAATTACAATTAAGGGCAACATTGCTTCTTTTGTGAAAATACATGTTCACATACGCGCGCAGACCATATAGACCAGAAAAACACACCATCTTAAGTCATTTACACACTCTGCGTACTATCAGAAGCGTTCAACTATGGTTAAGGAAATTAAATGTCATTAAAAATGACATTTTGATTTATTGGACATATCGTTGATCGGAGTCAACGATTCATTTSTAAATCGGATATGAGTGGTTTAAGTAATCTGGACGTTTAATTGCATTTTTATTTCCTGTGATCCGATTTGAAATCGTTTTGGGACTTCAAGCTGTCAGCATGTTTACTAAAAAGACTTCATCTTTTGACACAGTCTTAATCGATGAACCGGGAACTTCAACTGCACTTCTTCCTGAACTGCGATTTTKTGTCATTACACTTGCAATCGTTAGGAGTCTCGTTCCCAGGTCTACCGACGCTYAATCTCGTACCCAGAGCCCGCACTTTTGCCATCTAGCGGAAGTCAATGCGTGAGAGACTCGGGGGGGGGGGGACGTGTTATTTCTCGATTCGTGATTGGTTGAATATGACGCGAGCGCGCGTTGTTTTCAAGTCGGTTTTTCAAGTCGCCATCCCGTGTTCGCCACGTCAGTCAAAAATCATATACTTTTCTCGCATAACCACACATATTTTTTTTTACACATTTGCTTAAACAAAGGTGTAAGTACAATTCTTAAAATACATTATTTGCAAAAGCTCATCTTAATGCTGTAAAGCGGAAACAAAATTTACCTAATTTGCATTATTTTACGTTGCAAAAACTAGGGAAGCACGATGGTGATATMTTATTGGATGAAACAACTCTTCGACGATTGGAGAACCCAGACGAACCCAACCCGGAGACAAGGAATATCATCAAGAGTTCAACGTATCACTGGCCTAATGGTATCGTTCCGTACGTCTTTGATGATGCATTTGGTATGTCTATATTGTACATCAGTTTTCAGTAATTGTGTTTGGGAAAGAACGATACTGATTCTTATGCATTGGTATCATACTGTGGCTGCTACGGCGTCTTTGTTTTCTACTGCACACTGCTTGCTAAATACAGCTTACTTTCTACTGCCGTGTGGATACAGGTCATCACAAACCTACGCACTGCCACCACCTATTATTCACTGTCCATATATTTCAAACGCCCACGCCCTCCAGTAAAGCTGTCCACTGACCATCAGCGCCCAACGTCACTGTCCACAGAGTAAATCACATTAGCGATGTACACTTGAAAATAAATAAAGGCAACAACAATGTCATCGCATAAAAATGTTTTTAATATGTTCATGGGAAAAATTTCATTTAAAAACTCAAAATATTAGAATAGCACATGATCGATATTGAATATTTTTTTGTAAAAAATGCGATGCAAGCTAATAATTTTGTTGTAGTTGTTCTGTTTGTTTCTTATGAACACCGTTGACTGTATGCATAACACGATATTTTTAACATTCTGTCACAGAACAATACCCTCACGAGAAAAACATGATATTGGGCGCCATTGGCGAGATGCATAAAGTGTCCTGCGTTCGTTTTGTACAGAAGACAACAGAACAGTATTACATTACATTCGTAAAAGGATCAGGGTAAGAATGCAACTAAAAATATTCAATATTTGCAATAATGTTTTAGTCTTGGACACACCTGTGGATTTAAAAAAAGAAAAGGAAAAGGTGTTGGTTGCTTATCGTCCTTCATGGCAGCACGGGTGCTGAATTGCGAACGACGCAGCGACGCGCTCTCAAGTCGAAGAGCTATATTACAGACACATTTTACAGACACTTACACATAGGCGTGCTGCTAGCAAGGCGCTTCCTTTACACAGCAACGTCCACTGAACGCGGAGCACAGCAGATAGAAATGGTTCGGGTTTTTTTGCCTCTCGTAGCTGTGGCGTACACGAGAATTTTTTTCTGGCATCAGTGTTTAGCTTGGTTCACTATCACGGGGCATTTCAGCGTGAATCAAACGGCCACTTTAGTTGAAAAACTCCTTTTCTTCACAAAAAGAATCTATATAAGCTTATCAACGCTTTTGACCCCAGCACTTTGACCGTTTATATCTCATTTTATAAACCTGTTTTAAATATAAAGAGCTGAAACATTCGTTTGAGCGATTTATAAAAATGGACGGCAGAAAAAAGGTTGTAATTTACCGAGTTGCGCATAACTTCTTACATTCATTACATGTTTGATACAACGACTTATTATTTAATAATATTTATAAAATTTTTGATATATAACGCGCGCTCTGATTGGCTGACGACCGTGTTTATATCAGAGGACAGAGACACGGCTTACGGGCAAAATGTTCTTTTCGCTCGAAAAATTTTATAAAAGAAATATAAAACGGCCGCTTGTGTCTCTGTCCTCTGATATAAACACGGAGGGAGTTGAAAAACACTCGAGAAGCAAGAGAAACACTCGCTACGCTCGTGTTCCTAAGCTTGCTTCTCTCGTGTTTTTCGAACTCCCACCGTGTTTATATCAGAGGACAGAGACACGCGCGCCGTTTTATATTTCTTAAACTAATGATATCCAGATGTTCTTCGTATGTTGGTCGSCTTCAAATGGCTGCGCAACCTGTTTCTATTGGTCAAGGATGCGCTRCTATGGGRACTATTCTCCATGAAATGCTTCACGTATTGGGATTCTTCCACACTTCATCGCGAACAGAYAGGGATTCTTACGTTATYGTCAAGACGGCAAACATAGCATCGGGTATGGTAYCAATAAATGATTTAAAACTTTRACTGTTTGGTAAAGACTCGAGTCGCCACAATCTGCTATTCTTAAAATTCCAATACAGTTGAAAATAGCTGTACATTGACTGTTTATTCTTTTGTTTCATATCCTAGAAAAGAGGATATTCCCGCCTGAATACTGGAATTTTAAGAATAGTCCGATTGTGAACTGACTTTGTTCKATTTTGCTGTAGTCTAACCCACAGTAGCACATTCTACACACAGTACAGACACGCGTAGACTAATAGGCAAWGTTCAACGACGCCATTTTGTGCAGCAAAGCATGATGGTAGCTGTAGTACATCGCACTTATTAGACTGATATGATTTACTTGTGACCCTGAAATATTTCCCTAAAGAGCGGCATTTTTACATTTTCTTAGTATAAGAAACGGTAAAATTATTTCTATATTTGCTTAAAACTGCTATA